CCTTCTGAGAAGGCCTTCTCCTTCTCGTTTCTCCCCCCTCGCTCGCAGCCAAGTAGACGAATGAAGGCAGGCTCCATGCTTGCGTGAGCGGTATCCAGGCCTTCCAAGTGGGGTCGGAGCAGATGGAGTCGGAGGATCTCGCCACATCGCCGATGCATCGGCGATGTGGCTCGATGTGAAGCCCGAGTCTCTCCACGTCGACGTCGCCGATGCGGCGCGATCCTCCGACCCCATGTATTCGGACCCCACCCAGGGGGCCTCTATAGACTCACGAAGGCAGGTTTCGATGCCTGCGTGAACGGTAGCGGGTGAAGCACCGGCATCGGGAGCTGGAAGAGCACGGCGGGGTGGCCGTGGAGCATCAGTTCAGCTCAGCTCTTCTTGCTGGTTGTTGCTTCTGCCCTCGGTGTCCTCCTTTTTAGCTTCGTCCACCTTCAACTCATGCTGCCTCCGTCGGTCGCATGTTAGATCTGGTGGAGCCTGCTAGACGTGTTGACTCGGAAGCCCAGCCTGGATGAGAGGTTGCGCCCGGCCAGGGGGGGGATCCGAGGTGGCCGCCACCCGCTGCCTCCAGCCCCTCCCCAGCCATGGACACCTTCCAGCAGGCCTTCGAGCGCCAGTGCCGCTGCCGGCCCCGACACGTCGTTGTCAAGCGAAGTTCCTGCCTGCTTGGCCCACGGAGGGGCGACTTCACCTCGCCCGTCCAAGCTTCCAGCGAGAGCTCTGAAGGAGTACACCAGAACTTCAGTCAGCCAGGGGTATAGGAAAGGCGCGCCGTTTTTTGTTGAGGACAGTACGCCGCACCCTTGATGTGTCGGTGTCGTTTGCGGTCGTCAGGTGATTTGAGAGCGACCGCAACGCGAGAGGTGGGGCGGGCAGGGTGCTCGCGATTCAGCCAGTTCGGATGCGTCGCAGTCGGGTGTATTGCGAAGACCTCACGGCCGGTGCCGCAGATCCTGAAAGCGCGACCTCCCCCAAGGACCCCCGCTGGCGACCCCTCCCAGGACCGGCTGGAATCCCAGGGGTGTGTGGGCGATATTATGACCCGCCCCCCCCCCTCTCCCCGGCAGGGAAGGGATGAAGGGAAGGGAATCGACTTAATTACGACGTTCCTTTTCCTTGTGCCTCAATTTCTTTGGGACCCACGACGACGACGACAGCGTCTTTCACATGCGAAAGGGTCGGCGGATTCGGTCGGTTCGGTTCGGTCGGCTGTTGCGTTGCTGCCGCGCCGTTGCGTTGCCGACTGCGCACTCTCTGTTCGCCGTCGTTGACTCGCCGACGGCACACCAGGCTTTGCAGTCGCGTTTTTCGCGCATCGTTTTGCCCTTCCGAACGGCATCAGCGTCCTGGATCGACCATCGACCCAGCGGCCTCGACGGATCAGGCACTCTATTCGCCGTCGTTGACTCGCCGACGGCGCACCAGGCTTTGCAGTCGCGTTTTTCGCGCATGGTTTTGCCCTTCCGTTCGGCAGCAGCGTCCGGGATCGACCATCGGCCCAGCGGCCTCGACGGATCAGGCCTCTCGCGGGCCCTGGGGGCAGGCCCGCGGCCCCAGCCTCGAGGGAGGCCGCACCCTTCCCCCCCCTCCCGGCGTGCCAGCGCGCTGCAGTCGAAACCGATGAGAAGGCTTCGGGGGCGGCAGAGAGGGGGGTGATGGCTAGGGGGGGTGGATATCATGGCGTGGGCCATGATATTTCCCCAGATTTCATGGCGCCTCTTCTCATTTCGTTACGTCCCTGGGCCCCCCGCTGGGCCGCGCACATGCCGCCGGTCATGATTTGCACCCCCCCTCTTGGACACCCCCCTCTTGGCCGCTCCCGAAGGATGGGCACCCTTCCCAAGGGTGCCCTTGCATCTATGCCTCCTCGGCCCAGCCTTAACCACTCGATGGCCAGCCCCGTTCGAAATGCGTCGACAGGGGCGTCCAAGGGGCTGGTATCCTCCTTGCGCATCCCTGCTGTCCGCTTCGACTGAAGGCGCGCGCCCCTCGCCCGCGCAGGCCGAGCAGCCCGCGTGGCGAGGGCAGGCGCGGCAGATGGGGCCAGGGCGCGCGACGAGTGCAGGCCCAGCAGTGAAACGTCCGACATCGGCCTATGACTAGGGGAACAAAAAGTGACATAAACATAAAAACTCGGAGGTCCGCGCGGATTTCTCGGATCGGCGCTGGGCCCCCCCGGCGGCGCCTCCGGCGCCGCCCCTGGCGCGCTCCGCGCGCCAGGGAGGGGGGTCCAGCGCCGATCCGAGAACTCCGCGCGGACCTCCGATTTTTTATGCTTATGCCATTTGTTCGTTCCCCTAATGACATCACAGGGAAGCCTCCAGGGGAGCCCGAGGCGGCCGAGCAGGGCACCGATCGGCCTGCCAGGGTTGCTTGACCCGGGTTTGGGTGCAGGATCCTGCAGGATCCTGCGGGATTTTGCAGGATCCTGCAACGCCGGACTGGCCAAGGTCTGGACCGACCCGGGGCAGTCTGTTTTCGAGTGTTAGCCCCGGGAGCTGTGCCCTGTCTCCCTGATTAAAAGCTGTGCATAGCCCGCCTAGCTTTTAGCGGAAGAGGTTCGCTCTCGCCCCGCAGATCAAAAGTGTTAGCCCCGGGAGGTGTTTTTTCGATCGCACCGACCGTTGTCGACAGAAACCTCCTCGCCCTCAGGCTTGGGCGGGTGGTCATGGGAGTGGCCCAAGTTGGGTGAAGGAAGGGGCCCTCATAGGGCCCCTCCGTGCCTCTTTTGGAGAGCCAGCAGGGGCCCAACAGGGGCCCTCAAACGGCTCGCTTTAGGGTCCTTCTCTCCACTCCCCAAGTATCAGGTCGCCCCCCTATCAGCACCCGCCCGACAGGCGTTCGATGGTCGACTGGTTGCTTGCTCTGTACCCTTCTCTTCTCCAGGGGCGAGGGGGGGGGGGAGGGCGGGGCAGCCCGCGGGGCGGGGGGGGCAGAGGGAGCAGGGGGCGGGGTGCGTGCTTGGAGGGCCGTGGCAGACACGAGGGGAGGCTTCGGTGGCAGATCGCGGGAGCCACCTCTGGTAGCTTCATCTTTGGGGCGCACTTGCATCGATTAGCCTCTGGTAATAGGCGAGAGAGAGAGAGAGAGATAGAGAGAGAGAGAGAGAGAGCGCTGATTTGGCGTCGGTCAGCGTCGACTTAGCGTCGACTTGGCGTCGATTCAGTGTCGGCTCAGCTTCGATGTAGCGCCGACTTGCAGGCGCCACGGTGAGGGTCTGGTGAGTTGCCACGGACGGGGCGGGGCTGTGCGCTTCGGGGGCCGTGGCGGACACAGGGGGAGACGAGTGGCCGGGAAGCGGGGCTACTTCGGCGCTGCATCGACGCTGATCGACGCTGAGTCGACGCTGCAGTGCCGTTTTTAATACATGCTCCGCGTGCGGATCATGTATTAAACATGCAGGGATGTAGTATTAAAAGCAACGAGGAGTTCATGCATCAGTTTAGTCATACATTCGTCATTTATTAAACATCCGATGTTTTTTCCATGCCATGTATCAAAAACTGCCCTGTACAGCCAACCTGCATAGTAAGGATGAGCAACTTTCCAAAGTTACCCCTGCAGGGGGGGGCGCTGAACTGGGGTATTTCACCTCGAGCACGTTCTCCGTGATGCAATCCGTCATCAACACTCCCCTCCGGCCCATCCGTGGCCGCCTTCGCGGGCCGCGCCCCGCTCGCAAGGTGTCGACACGGCCTTCCGAGGCCCCTTCTGTGTCCTCACCGCGCATCCTCCTGATGCGGGCTGACCGCAACCGACGCTGCATCGACGCTGAGTCGTCAGCCTCGATCCGTGGGGCGGGCCGCGAACCTGCCGTGGACCCCGGATTTGGCTCGCGGACCGGCCTGAACTCGGCAACACCCCAACATACTTATACTATATGTGCGTCGCCCTCCCAGGGGCGACGCGCGCACCGAGGAATCTTATAGTATATGCGTTGTGGCGGGCGCATTCTGGCCACACCGCTCGGGAAACGATATACTACAAGATGGGTATACTATATGTTCGGGTCGGACGCGCGCGTCCAAGGATGACATATAGTACTAGTACGTCTTTGCGCATCCCATGAACGGGCCCAGTTCTGGGATCGGCCGAGACTCGCCCCGCCGCCGTCCGCTCTGGACGGGGCCTGGATCGGGGATCGGCCCTGGGGCGCCGGATCGCTCAGCGACCGCGCGGGGGGACGAGTCGAGGAGCCATGCGCCGCTTGGCGCGTGGGCAGGACACGTGCGCACGCCAACGAAGAAGAAGAAGAAGAAGAAGAAGAAGAAGAAGAAGAAGAAGAAGAAGAAGAAGAAGAAGAAGAATAATAAGAATAATAAGAATAATAAGAATAATAAGAATAAGAATAATAATAATAAGAAGAATAATACGAATAATAATAATAAGAAGAATAATAATAAGAATAATAATAATAATAAGAAGAAGAAGAGGAAGAAGAAGAAGAAGAGGGATAATAAGAATAATAATAATGATAAGAAGAAGAAGAAGAAGAAGAAGAAGAAGAAGAAGAAGAAGAAGAAGAAGAAGAAGAAGAAGAAGAAGAAGAAGAAGAAGAAGAATAAGAAGAATAATAATAATAAGAAGAAGAAGAAGAGGGGACGCATCGCGACCGTGTGCCGCAGAAGAACAGGGCGCAGCGCGACTGTGGAGCAGAACACCCCGCGCCCCACGGCTGTGAGGCAGAGGAGCCGGGTCCGAAGCGGGGCCCGGGGGTGCTTCCTCGCCGCGTGCTCGGCCTCGGCGGGGGGCACGCCCAGGGCCGTCGGGGAGGTACGCCGGGCGCGGATGGGCTCCCCGGCGCGCGGCGGTGGCGGCGGGCACTGCTGAGCCTTCAGCTGCCTCGATGCGCGCGTGCTGCTACGCAGCGCGTGCTGTGCTCAGCACGGCCGTGTCGGTACGCTGCGCGGGGGCCTCCCGGGTCGCCTCCGCCTCCGGCCGCGCGGGCGGCGCTCCCGCCTCCCCCGAGGGCCCGCGCGCGGCGGGCGTGCCCCCAGGTGGAGCGACGGCACGCCCGAGGACGGCGTCCTGGAGGACGAGGCTCCCCGCGCCCCCCCCTCCTCCTCCTCCTCCTCCTCCTCCTCCTCCTCCTCCTCCTCCTCCTCCTCCTCCTCCTCCTCCTCCTCCTCCTCCTCCTCCTCCTTCCCCCACCAGACGGCATGCAGTCCACCCGCACAGTGGGGATGGGCACTTCCCCAAGGGTGCCCTTGCATCTTTGCCCCTCCGGCCCACCCTTGGCCACTTTTGCGGGCCAGCCTCGTTCGAAAAACGCAGACATGGCCCTCCAAGGCCCTTGCGTCCTCACCGCGCAACCTTCTGATACGGGTTGACTGTTGACTGTACAATCGTGGTAACGCCGGACCGAGTCCACAAGTCTCCCCCGCCTTTCTCTCTTTCTTTCTTTCTTGGTCTCTTTTCTGTCATCCATGAGGCGCAAGGAACCCAGGTAGCCGCTTCTGGCCATCGGCTGAACGGGGCTAGGAGGTCTGCAAGCTCACGCGAGACGTCCTCAGGGGCTGCTGCTTCTGCTGCCCCCTCCTCCATTCCCCGCTCTCCTCCCCTCCTCCAGGTGCAGGGAAAAGGGCTACTACCACTGTGCCGTGCACTGCGCAGTGCGTTGGCTATGCCACATTGTGTGCGAGAGGGGTCAAGACAAATTTTTCGTTCAATGCCCGCCGCGCCAGTTGCCTGGCATACCTCCGCCTTACAGCTGGCTTAGCTGCACGGGGTTCGAGCTAAAACTACTCGAACCATATTCTTTCGGAGTTCCGCGCGGATTTCTGGGATCTGGCGCCGATCCAAGAGAGCCGAGCAAAGCCGATACGTTTACGCAGCTGTTTCTTCTTCCACTGTCGGACCGAGGTGCAAGATCGAGGTCGGTTCGAGGAGGGTACCCTGATGCTCTTCGTGCTTGCTGGATGTTCCTGTGCAATCTGGGGAGGTTACCCTCGGACGTTCTCTGTGTGTTTGGCCGGCGGAGGGTCTCGTGTTCTTGGAGGATGCTCGTCTGTCCTAGGTCCGACTGTGCTCCCTCACGCTCCGCCCCCCTCCCCTCCCTCCTCCCCTCCTCCCGCCTCCCTCCTTCCGCCTCCCTCCTACCTCCTTCCTCCTCCCTCCTCCCTCCCCCCCTCCCCCTCCCCCCCTCCCCCCTCCTCCCCCCCCCCCTCCTCCCCCCTCCCTCCTCCCTCCTCCCCCCTCCCTCCCCCCTCCTCTCCCCTCCCCTCCCTCCCCCCTCCCCCCTCCCTCCCCCCCCCTCCCTCCTTCCCCCGCGCGTGCGCCCCCGCGCGCCCGGGCCCGGCCCCGGGCCCGAGCGGCCCGAGAGGGGAGCAGGCGGGCCCATCCGGACCTCGCCGCCGAGAGGGGGGGGGCAGCGAGCTGCCGCGGGCGGGTGGCCGCAGCCAGGGCGGGCCCTCGCGGTCTCGGCGGCTGACCTCCTCCTCCTCCTCCCCCCTCCTGCCTCCTCCCTCCTCCTCCTCCCCTCCTCCTCCTCCCTCCTCCTCCTCCTCCTCCTCCTCCTCCTCCTCCTCCTCCTCCTCCTCCTCCTCCCTCCTCCTCCTCCTCCTCCTCCTCCTCCTCCCCCTCCTCCCTCCTCCCTCCTCCCTCCTCCCTCCTCCCTCCTCTCCTCCCTCCTCCTTCCTCCCTCTCCTCCTCCTCCTCCTCTCTATCTATCCTATCTATCTCTCTGTCTGTCTGTCTGTCTGTCTGTCCTGTCTGTCTGTCTGTCTGTCTGTCTGTCTGTCTGTGTCTGTCTGTCTGTCTGTCTGTCTGTCTGTCTGTCTGTCTGTCTGTCTGTCTGTCTGTCTGTCTGTCTGTCTGTCTGTCTATCTATCTATCTATCTATCTATCTATCTATCTCTCTGTCTATCTATCTATCTATCTATCTATCTATCTATCTATCTATCTATCTATCTATATATCTATCTATCTATCTATCTATCTATCTATCTATCTATCTATCTATCTATCTATCTATCTATCAATATATATATATATATATATATATATATCTATCTATATATCTATCTATCTATCTATATATCTATCTATCCATTTATCTATCTATCTATCTATCTATCTATCTGTCTATCTATCTATCTATCTATCTATCTATCTATCTATCTATCTATCTATCTATCTATCTATCTATCTATCTATCTATCTATCTATCTATCTATCTGTCTATCTATCTATCTATCTATCTATCTATCTACAGTTCAAGGCAGAGCGGTGATGCCTGTACAAAGCGGGATTGAAAGAGCAGGACTCCTCCTCCTCCTCCTCCTCCTCCTCCTCCTCCTCCTCCCTCCCTCCTCCTCCCTCCTCCCTCCCCTTCCTCCCTCCTCCCTCCTCCCTCCTCCCTCCCCCCCCCCCCTCCTCCTCCCTCCTTCCGCCTCCCTCCTCCCTCCTCCCTCCTCCCTCCTCCCTCCTCCCACCTCGCCGCCGCGAGGGGCGAGCTGCCGCGGGAGGTGGCCGCAGCCAGGGCGGGCCCCCGCGGTCTCAGCTGCTGACCTCTCGCAGGCCTAGAGACCGACACCAACACCAATTTCGGCGGTGTGCCTCCACCGAGGGATGAAGATTCCGATCTCGGTGATGGTGGTAGTAGTCTGGCTTCCAAGGTGGCCGAAATATTGCCATCAACACCGAAATCTAGGATCATCTTCCCCCTGTGGAGGTGACCCCCCTGTGTTGGTGTTGGTGCCCATTTCCAGGCCTCCAGACCTCGGTTCGGGCCGGACGACCGGGGGGGAATAGGGAAAGGGGGGGTTACGAAATCTGCTGCCTGCAGCTGGTTTCGGCCCCGCCGCCGGGCCCATGCCTCGATATGCATGGGCGCCTCTCCCGGCGCCGGGAGGCGCCGGGAAAATCAGCTACGTGAGCTGATTCTCACCCCCCCCTTTGGTATCCCCCCCTTTCGCCTGGCCCGATTGGTGCTCTCGACGTGGCGGGCAGGGCCGCTGCGGCGTTCCGTCGGCAGGCCGTTCTCGGCGCCGGAGCGGCGCCACGGCTCACCCCATCACGGGGCAGTCTTCTTCGCGAGGCGGTCTCCGCAGCATGGCGACGATGATGTGCGACCGATTTTGACTGCGGCTCTTGCCGATCCGTCGTTCCCTCGTCGAGTGGCGCTGGAGTACCAGGAAGTTCGGAAATGCTTCGTCGATGCCACTGCGTTGGATCGCTTGCGGCTGTACAAAACGGCGATGCGGAGGGTTGCCACCCGGATCCAGAAGGAGCGCCTCTTTCTGGAGCCCGCCGCCAACACAGATGACCGTCCAGGCGTTGCTATGAAATTCATTCGTGCTGTGGAGGGAGGCCAGCACAACGAGATCTCGACATGTCTGTTACGATACCTGGAGGGCCGGGATGTTGTGGACAACTCGTACCGCACCGATGGCAATCTGACGCGTCACCTTCGAGGCGCCCAGTTGCACGCTGTTCAGCGCGCTCGTGAGCACGCCATTGACGAGCTGGGCCGCTCGCGCACCGACTTGGCGAGCGGGGGCGATGTCCGGGTTACGCAGGCCTGGCGGCGCAATGCCCGCCTCATCTACTGGCTTGCGTTGGGCCGCGCTGGCGGCATCTCGGCGGCGGCGAAACCAGATGGCCATATTGTGACACACCCAGATGCAGAAGCGGCCGCCCTGCGCTCCTACTCTAAGGAGGTGTTCACCGCCAAAGGGGTGGACGATGTCGTACTCCAGCAGTGGACGGACGAGGATATGGGATTCGCCCCTTCGCCGATGCTTGCCCTTATCGACCCGGCCAGACTTCGCTCATCTCGCCGACGCATTCGGGAAGCCATTCAGAAGTCCAACAACTCTTCCCCTAGTCTGGGCGGCGTCCGTTTTTGGCATGGCGGCGCAAGGCAGCAGTCTCGACCACGCTCTTGTTCGACGACATCCAGGCCCTCGCTTCCGACGATGGGGCGCCCCTCATGCAGATCTTCGCCGGCGAATTCAACGCCAGCCTTCCCTTCCTTTTGCCCGAGCAGGCGGCCAGCTTTGGGCCCGCGGGGAAGGATATTTTGAGCACGGCGGCGTGCAGTGCCGCTTTTTGTATACATGCTCCGCGTGCGGATCACGTGTTATATATAATGTAGGGATTTCGTATGAAAAAACAACGGTGAGTTCATGCATGCATTCATTCTTACATTAATCATGTATGAAAACTCCTACACTTTAACCCTATGTATTAAAAGCTGCTTTGTGCGGCCTTCAACGTCACCAACACGGACAACCGCTTGCTGGCAAGTGCGGTGCGGCTGCTGATCGAGCCAGTGGGCGGGCCCAGGGCCGCAGATGTCCAGAGGGGGGCTTCGTCAGTGGGCGGTCCATGCTGTCCAGCCTGGTCGACGCAGAGGGAGCGTCGGCCCTTGCTGCTTGCTCTTCGGACGAGGCTGGCGCCATGTTCTTTGGATTCCAGCGGCGTTCCCCTCCATCGAACACTCCTTTCTCACGCGTGTTTCGAGCCAGTCAGTTGGCCGGCGGGTGGGGCATATTTCTCGGTGTTCTGAGCCCATGGAGCTTCTGCGGCGTCGCGATGGACGGCGCCCCTTGCAGCGGCTTTGCTGTGCACCGCGGCATCCGTCGAGGCTGTTTTTTTTTTGTTCTCTTTGCTCTTCGCTGTCGCCGCGGACCTGCTGCTCAGACGCCTCCGCCGGGATCTCTCTTCATCGCTCTTCGCGCCTACGCCGACGACGCGGCTTTGGTCGACCCGCTGTTGCTGCGACACTTGGCCCTGCTCGAGCGCACCTTCACGGAGTGCGCGTTGGTGTTTGGCCTGGAGCTCAACGTCAGCAAGACAGTCTTGGCCCTTTTCGGTGCGTTCAGTGGCTCGGCGACTCGCGTCCATCTTCGCGAGGTCGTTCCTGTGTGAGGGGCCCTCGAGATCGATGGATTGGCCAAGTGCTTAGGATCTTATATGGGTCCCGAGAGAGGCTTCGAATCACGGGGCAACGCTTTTAGAAGATGAGAGAACGGGCGTCTGTTTGGGGGCACGTCGGGGCAGGCATCATGCACGCCATCGAGGCCTACCGGGTCTTC